CCTGGTTTCCAACACATCCTCTCTCTTTTTTATTGCTGAAAGTTCTGTTTTGATCATATTTTCTGAAGGTTTCCATTTTGTCTCAAGTTTTTGTAAAAGGACTTTGGCATGTTTCGAAATAGCCTCTTTCATTTTTTTCTCAGTTTGTAGAATTAGTCCTCTTGTCTCTTGAAGATTTGTATCACCATCGAAAAGCATTTTTTTAAATGTTTCTTTTTCATTTCTGAGAGACTGAAGATCGAATTCAAATGCATCTATTAGTTTCTTCATTTCAGAGATGATATCTTTATACACTTCACCAATGGCCTTAAAGTCATGCAGTTTATGGGTCTCCACTACACATTCTGAACAGGCCGGCTCACTGCATTTATTACAGTAGAAAAAACACTTCTGTTGAATATGCTTTGTACATACCATGTTATCAAGATCTACTCTCCGCATAGAAGTAGCAAAGTTCTCTGTTTCTAAATCTTTTAAATTTATAATTTCATGTTTCATTGATGCCTTACTTTTACTATGTATCTTTGAACTGCACAGTTGACATAGAAACATGATGTGCCTGCAAAGCTTGGTTTATGTTGTTCTTTCTAGTTTCCATCTCATCTTATTCTCTGTCGTGACAGAAAGTTCAGTTTTAATCATATTTTCTGATGAGTTACCTTGATTTGTCTCTTTTAATAGATTTACGAGATTTGAACATCAGTTAACTTCTTTGACCTTAATTTATTAGTCCCCTAGGGATGAAGTCGAAGGGTACTTTAGGTTTGCACTCTGTCCATCTGTCTGTCTGTCCATCCGTCAGTCTGACAAATCAATTTTCCACATTTTTTTTCTTCGTGCTTGAAGATATTGATTTGATATTTGGTATATAGCTTTATCATGACAAGTTACAGATCAAGTTTGAATTTTGTTTTGGTCTGATGATTTTGTCCAGAGTTAGGGTCCTTGAAATAAAAAATTCACTCAAATTGTTGGTTTTCCGCATTTTTTTTCGATTTTTTGAAGATTTTGATTTGATAATTGGTATATAGTTTTATTATGACAAGTTGCAGAACAAGTTAAAATTTTTTGCTGGTGTAATGATTTTGTGCAGAGTTATGGTCCTTGAACTTACAAAATTCACTAAAATAATCAGTTTTCCGCCCTTTTTTTGTCATGCTTGAAGATATTAATTTAATAATTGGTATATAGTTTTTATCATAACAAGTTACAGATTAAATTTTAGTAATGTTCCTCTCTGATGATTTTGTGCAGAGCACTCTTAAATTGTACTTTTGTGTTAATTTGACCTGTTGATACAATTTGTAATACTTTTTTGTTATTAAATGTTTACTTATTTAGGGTTATATCTCATCTCTCTATTTTTAATATATACCAGCTTTGATAAGTGTTTGGTATGACTAGAAATTTTCACTTCTGTTCTTGTACTATGAACAACAAAATTATTTATTTTGTAAAAAATATTTCCGTTTTCCATTTATACTGTATACCTTACAACAAAATTATTTTCATTTACCTGTGTACATTATTCTATTTGGCATAATTTTGTTCAAGGTTATGGTTGACTTTCTGAAATTATTTAACATCTCACAGCGGTATACTACTGTTGCCTTCATTTATTCACCCCTTATTTTATTGATTTTGTATTTACATTGTGTCATAGATCAAATTTATTCGTTCAGTGTATGTTCACTTGCTTGTGTTAATATGTCTTTTGATTGAGTTAAGCCACTTCAATTAATATTTTATAGTGTGTCGTTTTATGTTGTGATGTTAGACTATTGTTTCAGGTAAGGGTGAAGGTTGGTACCTATTAAAATGTTTAAACCCGCTGCATTTGTTTGCACCTGTCCTAAGTCAGGAACCTGATGTTCAGTAGTTGTCGTTTGTTGATGTGGTTCATAAGTGTTTCTCGTTTCTCTTTTTGTCGAGCCTGCAACTTTTTTCGCAAAAGCGAGACATAGCGATCCTACATTCCTTCGGCGGCAGCGCTGGCGGTGTCCACAAATACTTATTCTGTGGTTTAAGTTTTTGAAATTTTAATAATTTCTTAAACTATCCTGGATTTCTACCAAACTTGGACAGAAGCTTGTTTATGATCATAAGATAGTATCCAGAAGTAAATTTTGTAAAAAAAAAAAATCCTGTTTATCCATATTTTACTTATAAATGGACTTAGTTTTTCTGCCAGTTAACATTACATTCACTCTGTGGTTAAAGTTTTAAAATCTGAACCAAACTTGGACAGAAGCTTGTTTATGATCAAAAGCTAGTATCTAGCTGCCTTTAGGAAACCATAATGCTTTCCTATTTGCTGCTGACACAGTATGAGTCATGGACATGTTTAATTTCTACTTTCTTTTTGGCTAATTATTATATATTTAATTGTTCCAACATTTTGTGTACTATACATATGTGGATATCTATTTTTCTTTTTTTCTTTTTGGGCTGCTTGTTTGTTATCTATATCAACCACACTTGCAATAAAATGCATTAGTATTAAAAAAAACAACATACTATAGATTCTTTATCTACGTATTCTTTAAGAACTTAAATAGTTCTCGTTTAACTTTTTTTTTTTTTTTTATCTCATTGTTTGTATTGTATTATGAAAAATTATTGATGTTGTAATGTTTATGCCCTTTGGGGCCCATAATTGGAAATAAAATATCTTATCTTATCTTAACTTAGAAGGAAATTTTCTAAAAATTTATTTCCTGTTTTTCCGTATTTTACTTATAAATGGACTTAGTTTTTCTTCCAGTTAACATTACATAGAGTCTGCAGTAAAAGTATTTAAAACATTTATTAGATTCATAAACCATCCTGAATTTTTACCAAACTTGGACAGAAGCTTCTCACGATCAAAAGATAGTATCTAGAGGAAATCTTTAATAATTTTTTCCCCATTTTGTTGAGCCTGCGACTAACAGCAAAAGTAGGCAAGACACTGGGTTCTGCGGAACCCTTACAAATTTTTTATATAGATTAGACCGTTGGTTTTCCCGTTTGAATGGCGATGTGAGCCAAGGCTCCCTGTTGAAGGCCGTACTTTGACCTATAATGGTTTTTCTTTTACAAATTGTGACTTGGATGGAGAGTTGTCTCATTGGCACTCAAACCACATCTTCTTATATCTATTATGGTCCTTGGACTTGGAAAATTCACTCAAATAATCAGTTTTCCCCACTTTTCAGTCATGCTTAGAGATATTGACCTAATAATTGTTTTATAGTTTACACCATGTTAAGATATAGATCATATTGCATTTTATTTCAGTACAATGCATTATTTAACCGGTAGGGGACTATGTATTGCCATGCAATACTATTGGAATGCTTGTTTATCTTGTTCTTTCATTGAAGAATACTCCATATTTATTCAAACATGTGATTTAAATGTATCCAATTATTATACACTCCACTGTACCAGGTGAGGGGGGATTGTTTTGCCACCAAACATGTTTAACCCTGCAACATTCTGTATGTGCCTGTCCCAAGTCAGGAGCCTGTAACTCAGTGGTTGTCGTTTGTTGCTGCATATCTGTTTTACGTTCATTCTTTTGTACATAAATCAGGCTGTTAGGTTTCTTGTTTGAACTGTTTTACATTTGTGGTTTTGGGGCCTTTCATAGCTGACTATACAATATGAGTTTGTTCATTGTTGAAGGCTGTACAGTCTCTTTAGTTGTTAACTTCCATGTCATTTGGTTTCTTGTGGAGAGTTGTCTCATTGGCAATCATACCACATCTTCTTATTTTTATATCCATATAGGAGCTCTTTAAAAGAAAAATGAAATTAAACAAGTATTAGCTTTAAACTTAATGTTCTAAATATATCTTAGCTGTTGTTTTGCTGAATAGCACAGTTTTATCCACTTTGCTGATCAAATACATTCTTAACACTAAATATAAACACCAAAGCTCTTTTTTGACTTAAGACTTAGATGATCCCTGCATACTTAACCATAAATATTTTGTCTGTTAGCCAGAGATGCTGACCATGTTGATGCACTCAGTATCACTCCTTTTGCGATTCTCACAGATTTTGTTTTTTGTTTTGATATGTATTGTAAATGTAATTATGAGATTTAAACATCAGTACACTACAGTTGTCTCTAATTTTCCCAAATGTAATAACATACATTTACTGTGAAAGTTGTCATGATGTTTGATAAATATGAATACAATTAATCTAAACTCTCAAAGAATGACTTAATTGATCAAGTTTGTTTCAATTTGCCCCCCTGATTTCTCATCAGAAGTTTGATTTAAAAGTTCAAATGAAGGACTGACTTCAGATTCCAAATGATGGCAATAACACACAACAGTTGAGCTAAAATTTACCTTAAAAGTAAAATAAAATTGTAAAGATATTCCTTTATTTTATAAATTATATATATTGGTGAAGATTACTGATATGACTATATAATATATCATTACTTAGACAATACTACAATTTGTCAACATGAGTTATCTTTCTTTAACCTGGTGTTAATTCTTACATATATTGTAAAATATCTTAGACAGATTTTGTCGCAAATTTATCTTGACAAATCTCATTACAATCAAATTAACATGAAAAATGAAATAGTAATGATGGACCAATGGTCCTTTTCTTCAGAAAATCCTTTTTAATTGTGCACATGTACATAATGTTAAATAACAAACTACTGTACTTTGAAAATAGGTAAAATGAATTTATTAGAAACATTTTCTCATTGACATTTTCATTCAAGTTTCAAATATCTTTAATACTTTGGCAAATGTATTGCTGTGAAAAAAAAACCAACAATAAAACCAGTTACCATCAGAAGTTGTTGTAAAGAAGGAAATTTTGAAAACCAAGTGACTGAGATGTTAATTACTACACAAGACCACCAAAAATTCTGTTAAGATGATATCTAAAGAAGTATTTAGTACTTAATTTAATCATGATAATTCTCTTTGTAAGGTTTTATTTGATGTTAGTAATTTTTTGTATTTTGTATTTGCATACACCTTGAAAAATTTAAAATTGAAAAGTTATTGTAGACAACTGATAATATTGGCCTCAAAATATCCTGTTGTGTCATTGTCTGACCCCCAAATGATATATACCCAAATCTTCCTTGTTTCATATTCTTAATTTTGTCCATAAACTTCTTTTTGTGAACCAATAACTAAAATGATAAACAAAGTTATAGGGAAGTTATTTGTGGGTGATTTTTAATTGTAGTAATTAAACACAAGTGAACAATAACATACTATGGCTGAAGTGTAGTAACTTTCTTTCTTTTTAATTATATTCTGATCCCTATAGATTAAATACAAATATGTTTTATAGCTTTAGTGCTTTAAAGTCTGGTCTATTTTTAACATCTAAGTTATATTAGTTTAACACAATGTATTTTACCCTTCTTGTCACTTTCCCATGCATTGCACCCAATCCATAAAACATCTTTTTTGTCAATACTAAGACTCCAAGCTGATTCTTTTCCTACACTTTTAACATCCGTATATGCAATAACCTCCCCATCAGGATTTAAAACATGTATAGCATGATTCAAAGAATCAGACACTAAAATCATGTCTGTAGAGGTAATTGCCAAATCCCTTGGATAGAATTTTACATGGTCAGAATTGATACTATTACAGCCATTGTAGATCCAATGTAGTTGTCCCCCATAATCTAACATTACTATCCTACCCTCATATTCTGTGTTTACAATGTCTACAACTACTATCTTATCATTGAAAGAATTAATTCTACGAGGATAAGTTAGCAGTCTCTGATTGTTTGTATCATATTCAATAGTATGTTGTATATCACCATCCTTGTTCATAACCGAAAGTTTTCTGATACTGTCTTTTGTTGGGGGGAATTGAACAGGAAAAGATTCTGTCAACCCAACTATTATCTTATTATCTTTGGTTACATGTACTCCTAATGTTTTCAAGGGAGAAAATGACTTAAATGTATTTAACTGTCCATCTTTGGTATATAGTTTCAGAGCACTCTCTGTAGATGACGCAAGTATTTCTCCATCCTTTGTCAATGCCATATCACAGACTGTTATTTGAACTTCTTTTTCAACTTTGATATTATGATTTTCTATTTTTATTTTCTGTATGTTTTTATGATAATAGCTTCCTATAAATGCATTATTGTCACTAGATAAAAGTATGCCTGTCACATTTTCAACATCACTTTGATAAGTGTCAATAAGTTCAAAGTCTGGAACTGTATAAAGACCACCAAACATTTTACTTCCTATATTCACTTGCAGATTGCTAGGAATAAACTTTGACTTTTTTTGTTTAATTTGTTTAACTGAATACTTTGGCGATGAAGTATCTAAGGTTTTACTTGTAGATAAAATATCTGCCACATGATGAGACTGAAGTGCTTGATTTATATTGCTCATCCTTGTTTCCAACTCATCCTCTTTCTTTGTCATAGCAGAAAGTTCTGTTTTGATCATATTTTCTGAAGACTTCCATTTTTTTTCAAGTTTTTGTAAAAGGTCTTCAGCAAATTTCGAAATTGCTTCTTTCATTTCTTTCTCAGTTTGTAGAATTATGTCCCTTGTTTCTTGGAAATTTGCATCCCCATCTGGTAGCATTTTTAAAAGGTTATTTTTTTCTCTTTTTAAAAGCTGGAGATTGGATTCAATTTTGTCTTCTATTTCATTTATGTCAGCAATAATCCTTTCATAAACTTCATCAAGGGCTTTGTATTCATGTTTTTGATGGACCTCAATGATGCATTTCGAACAAGCAGGCTCACTGCAGTCTTTGCAATAGATAAAGCATTTTTCTTTACCATGAATTGTACATTGCATATTTTGGAGGTCCACTTTACGCATTGTTTTGGCAAAATCCACTGTCTCAATATCTTTCATATTTATTATTTCATGTTCCATAGAAGCCTTGCTTTTATTGTGTATCTTTGAACAGCACAGGTTACATAGAAATAGCTCACAGTTAATACACTTCCACTGAATCTCTGGTGAAATCTCACAGAATTGACATAATGCCGGAGTTTGTGCTTTCCCTATAGACTGAGAAAAGGCCATTTTGGGTATTATATCCAGTCACTATCAGTTATTTAAAATAGGTTTTACTTCCTCATTGTAAGAAAACTATCAAAGGTAGAACGGCAACATGGTCATGATTTGCATTAAGTAAATAACAGATAATGTTTTTATCATTCAAATTTTTTTAAAGAACTGATAACAAGACAAGACAGGAGTTAAACATGTGCACTTGAGAAATTTGAGGTCCTTTTGTCATCTAAGACAAAAAATCTATTTGAGTATATGTTATATTTTTTATTTGGCCATTCAAGGACCGGGGGTGGGGGTGGGAGTGGGGGGGGGATGATAGGGGCACATTTATACAAATCTTTTAGAAATACAGTAAATATAAACTTAGCGAGTATGTTTATATTGATTTTGATGGAATTGATCGGAAATAAGATTTAACTTTAATATGTGATAAAAGATATCCCCTTGAGGAATGGTTTGTAAAAAGCAATATTATTAATGTGAAGCATGAACATATTCTTATATTCTTAACTTTTCCCAATCTAATCCCTGACCTAAAAAGTTTAGTGATTAAGATTATAACACAATCATGCAATGGTGACTGCTGTACTCCAAATTTTGATATTTTTACCTATTCTGTTTGTTTGTTTTGCTCACACCTTGATGTCAATATAATGAAATTCTATGCGATAGGGGTATACTACTATTGCCTTTATTCATGCAAGGTTTAATCCACTATTTTCAAAATAAGGAAATGTCTGTACAGAGTCAGGAATATGAAAGTTGTTTTCCATTCGTATGATGTGTTTGAGCTTTTCATGTTGCCATTTGATTAGAGAATTTCTATTTAAAATTTTCCTTGAAGTTCTGTATTTTTGTTAATTTACTTTTTTTTTTGGCAGATCTTTTAGAATTGCTCACAACTTCTTGGATGTATGTATTGCTCTACATATGTCTTTTTGTGTTGTTGATTAGTTGACATATACTCTGCACCATTTATTCAACCATGTGATATAAAAAATGAAAAGAACACATTATAAATTTCATGTGTCCCAAGTGCTTTTCTGGATTTACCTTCATCAGGAATGCTCAAAGCCTGAATAAATGTATCCAATAACTATACAATGATGGTTAACCAAACATCAGCTCAGTATTAAGTAAAGAGGACTGATAAAGATGATTAAAACTTTCATTTTAATGAAGTTTTATGAAATAAATGACATAGAGATGATCTAAAACACTGTCTGTATGTGGGGTTTATTGCTTTTACTGGCTGTTTTTCTTTGTTATTTTTTTTGGAGATGTTGGTGGTTGGTGGGGTCTGTTAAGCTGTCCAGTATTTTTGGTCACTCCTATTATCTTTTTATACCCCCCCCCCCCCCCCCTTTTTTTAAAAAAAGGAGGTTTACTGTTTTACCTCTGTCTGTCCATCCATCAGTCCGTCCGTCTGTCCGTCAGTCCCATGAATATTTTTCGTCGCATCTTTCTCGGGAACTACATTACAAGGATTTGAGTCAGCTATACGGTATGATGCGTTTTCAGATTCATCACTCAACAACTTCCTGTTTACGGAACACTTGTATCATTTTACACATGATAGCCAAGTTGAAAATTTTTGTCACATATTTCTCAGGAACTACAATACAAGCATTACTGAAATTTGGTTTCAGGGTTTATATAAGTCAGCTATACTGTGTGATGCATTTCCAGATAAGAAGTTAGCAATATCCTTTAACTCTACATTCCGCTATATAGATGATGTTCTGTCACTAAATAATACAAAATTTGGTGACTATGTTGAACGAATCTATCCCATCGAACTAGAGATAAAGGATACTACAGATACAGTTAAGTCTGCCTCATATCTTGACTTACATCTAGAAATTGACAATGAGGGTTGGTTGAAAACAAAACTTTAAGACAAAAGAGATGATTTCAGCTTCCCAATTGTGAACTTTCCATTTCTATGTAGCAACATTCCAGCAGCGCCTGCATAGGGAGTATATATCTCCCAATTGATACGATATTCCTGGGCTTGTGTTTCCTATCATGATTTCCTTGATAGAGGATTGCTGCTTACAAGGAAGATATTAAACCAAGAGTTCCAAATGGTGAAGTTGAAGTCATCCCTTCGTAAATTTTACGGATGCCATCACGAGTTGGTTGACCGTTATGGAATAACCGTTTCACAGATGATATCGGATATGTTCCTTATGTCGTAAATACAATACCCTCCCTTTTCACGAATGTCACTCACCGAATTAGACTATTTACCGGATTTGTAATAACATAAGCAACACAACGGGTGCCACATGTGGAGCAGGATCTGCGTACCCTTCCGGAGCACCTGAGATCACCTGAAGTTTTTCGTGGGGTTCGTGTTGCTTAGTCTTTGGTTTCCTATGTTGTGTCATCTGTACTATTATTTAAAATTGAGAATGGAAATGGGGAATGTGTCAAAAAGACAACAACCCGACCATAGAACAGACAACAGCAGAAGGTCACCAACAGGTCTTCAATGTAGCGAGAAATTCCCGCACCCGGAGGCGTCCTTCAGCTGGCCCCTAAACAAATATATATTTGTCTGTTTGTCTTTTTGTTTTTGGCCATGGCGTTGTCAGTTTGTATTTGATCTATGAGTTTGACTGTCCCTCTGGTATCTGTCGTCCCTCTTTCAGCAACTTCCTGTTTACTGAACACTTACATATTTCTACACTATTAAAATATCCACTTGCGGCGGTTGTATCATCAGTGAGCAGTAGCTCGCAGTTTCACTTGTTTTTTGTTTTTATTTGGTATTATTCCTTGCAAGACAATTAACAGCATAATGAACATTTAATGTATTGTTCCTTGTGTTTGTTTGTTAGGTTTGATGGACATGTTCATATTTATAAAGGATAGTCAGCAATGTCCTTTGGGATATAATTTATATTTGCCTCTCCTTTTTATACGACCGCAAAAAAATTTTGTGGTCGTATATTGGTATGACGTTGGCGTCGTCGTCGTCGTCGTCGTCGTCGTCCGAATACACACTGGTTTTCGCACTCTAACTTTAGTTTAAGTGAATGGATCTTTTTGAAATTTGACCATAAGGTTAAATACCACAAAAGGAAGGTTGGGATTGATTTTGGGGGTTATTGTACCAACAGTTAAGGAATTAGGGGCCAAAAAGGGGCCAAAAATAAGCATTTTCTAGTTTCCAGACAATAACTGTGGAACAGTGTATGGATCTCTCTGAAATTATACTACAAGTTTCCATACCACAAAGGGATTGTTAGGATTTGCTTTGGGGGGTTATGGCTCAAACCGTTTAGGAATTAGGGGCAAAAAAGGGGGAAAAACAAGGTTGTCCTGGTTAATGGACAAATACTTTAGTACAAAACATAATTTAAAGCAGTGTAAGGGAGATAAATCAAATTCATCATTGAAATTATCTCCCTTACACTGCTTTAAAATTATGTATAAAGTAATGGTTAATGAACAATAAAGATAATTTAAAACAGTGTAAGGGAGGTAATCCAAATACAACGTTTTGGTTATTTCCCTTACACTGCTTTTAAATTATGTTTAAAGAAATGCATATTTATAAAGGAAGACCAGTAAAAATATCTGCAAATGTTGCATCTTTTTTTTTTACAAAAAAATCCATATGAAAGATTTGACACTATATTTTTAATTCTATTATAAAATAGATTAAGTTAGCACTATGGTAAATTTAAATGGGTAATTATGGTTGTCAACTCCATTGGAAATTTGAATTGAGATTATGACCATATCTTGAGGGAAAGAATTTTTTTGGGGAAAAAAGGGGGGGGGGGGATAAAAAGAAATTGTGGGGGGTCAATTTTTTCTTATTTCAGATTTCAGAAATTAAAAAGAATTATTCTTCAAATATTATTTTTTTTTCAAATTTCAAATATTGAAAAATTTCAAGAAGTAATCTTTAATTGCACAGTATGGCGCATTAGATTTGTAAAATCTTTGATCACATTTATTTATTTGTTATGCCGAATCTAACAGTGTATTTAGATTTTTAATTTTGGGTCCAGTTTTCAAATTGGTCTACATTAAGGTCCAAAGGGTCCAAAATTAAACTTTGTTTGATTTTAGCAAAAATTGAATATATGAGGTTCTTTGATATGCTGAATCTAAACATGTATTTAGATTTTGATTTTTGGCCCAGTTTTCAAGTTGGTCCAAATTGGGGTCCAAAATTAAACTTTGTTTGATTTCAACAAAAATTGAATATGTGGGGTTCTTTGATATGCTGAATCTAACCATGTATTTAGATTTTTTATTTGTGGACCCCGTTATCAAATTGGTTCATATTGAGGTCAAAAGGGTCCAAAATTAAACTTTGTTTGATTTCATCTAAAATTGAATTATTGGGGTTCTTTGATATGCCAAATCTAACTGTGTATTTAGATTTTTAATTTGTGGACCCCGTTATCAAATTGCTTCATATTGAGGTCAAAAGGGTCCAAAATTAAACTTTGTTTGATTTCATCTAAAATTAAATTCTTGGGGTTCTTTGATATGCTGAATCTAAACATGTGTTTAGATTTTTTATTATGGGCCCAGTTTTCAAGTTGGTCCAAGATAGGGTCTAGTATCTAAACTTTGTTTGATTTCAACAAAAATTGAATATATGGGGTTCTTTGATATGCTGAATCTAAACATGTATTTAGATTTTTGATTATGGGCCCAGTTTTCAAGTTGGTCCAAATTGGGGTCCAAAATTAAACTTTTTTTTATTTCAACAAAAATTGAATATTTGAGGTTCTTTGATATGCTGAATCTAACCATGTATTTAGATTTTTTATTTGTGGACCCCGTTATCAAATTGGTTCATATTGAGGTCAAAAGGGTCCAAAATTAAACTTTGTTTGATTTCATCAAAAATTGAATTAT